ACGAATTGCTGTCGAAGAAATGGTTTCATGCGCTGCTGCTGTTCTTGCATCCGGACAAAAGCCATCATCTTCCCCAAGAGTGGCAAAATACACAGAACTACACAGCGGTTCGGGAGAGCTTTAACCTTCTCCCACAATATAAGGAGGACATGGAAGAAGCGGGTACACTCACGGTTTACGAGAGCGGGTTCGTATCGAGAAATATCGACTCTATCTTCAGATGAAGTTCATGCAACGGTTCAACAACTGGGAAGCAAAATGCAAGGAATACGCGAATTTTAATTTTTGGTACCTTGTAATTCCTCGAAACACTTGGCGCTGGTCGCGCTGGAAGCCTACGCGTTTAGCGCGATTCTTTTCTCATGACTTCTTCCGGATCTCGCTGCGCAACTCTGGCAGCTTTATGCCCTTGCATACCTTGATATGCTTGAAGATGTTAGTACAGGAGATCTTCCTGTCGCACTTCTTGCATGTCTTCTTCGGCGCGCACCCGTACGGCGCTTTGGTTCTCTTTGCAGTCATCTTTGGAAATGTGAATTATAAACGAATGCTAAACTTGATTGATCGATATATTCGTCTATTTAAGTGGTTCTCTGATTGGACGAAAATATTTTTATTTTGGTTGTTTTGTTGTCGCACCAGGGAAAGAAGTAGACATTCATCAAATTTACTAAACATAAAGCATTAGAAGTTTCGTGAAAATTCGAGTTAAACCCGAATTCGTAAGTATTATTTTTAAAAATTAGTTTTGTAGAATGGAGATGCTAATATTTTGCACTTCGACTATTTTTTTCCACTAAATCTCGGCAAATCACCAGGTCAATGTTGAGAGAAGTAAAATCAGACGAAAACATAAGGCAAAGTGTCAGTTTAGTAGCCTCGGTTGAGTGCTTTCATTAAGTATGCAATAACTCGGCATCTAATAGTCCAATTGACACATATGAGGTAGCGTTGAAAAGAGGAGTAACATGGCCAATTTTTGAGATTTTTAACAAATAAATTGCAACAGGTGAAGCTGTTTTATAATGCATTCTTTCCGATTTCAAAAATTTTGTCGTCTTGCCAGTTTAGTAGCCTCCTTGACTTGATCAAACTATACCTTTGTACACGAGAAAGGGCAGTACAAGTGCCAGGCATGTTGAGAAAAAGATACCCTTCAACATCATAAAGATGAAGGTGTATGACATAAATTGGTTTATTTGTTTAAACGGGCCGACTAGACCCAGGCTTCCTGTTCAGGTTGAATCCACGCCTCCAATAAGGGCGGCAGTGCCTTAACTGCCATTTTCTTTTGTCCTACAGAAAAAATAAAGAGAGGAGGAGCGACGTAACCATTGGCACTACCACACGCAACAAAACTGAGGTGAAAGTGAGTTTTGATATCACTGTGCCAAACATTCTTGGATCCCTTTGCTGCTACCACGCGCTTGTGTTCTCGTTTCGTTTGAATAGCCGTCTCGTCCACGTTAAATACACGTGCAGCACCCATGTTATGCTCAAAGATCGCCTTGGCTAGCGACGAAAATAGTTGTGACAGGTCGCTTTCTTCAACTTCATTGCGCACTTTGGTCACAGATTGCGACGTTCTTAGTGAAAGTGAAGGGTTACGCTGCATGAAGCGCCGCAACCACCCCTCACCTACACTCACACCACACATGAGCTCGGCAATCTGCTGTTCCATGTGCAAGACGTCTTGCCCTCCGACAGGATGGCCGGTCACCTGTCACTGGAGAATCCAGTCTCTAATGTCGTTTTCAGCGGTCCTCGAAAGCATTGGAGGCGGCTCACGACGCTTGAGCTCATGAGGCTGGTTTTTGCGTGCAGCAGCTACGTATTTTTCTTCAGCGTGCTATGCCCGATCTTCATTTGTTTACTTGTTGCCTTTAACTCTGCGCCAGCGAGAACGGCTTGGACAGCGCAATGGAGCTCTGTTTCGCTGTACTTGGCGCGTATTTTCCCAATGGTGGAGAAGCGTGTGTGTGTGTAGCCACTGACCACTGGCCAGAGTATAAACTGCTGGAGGAGATCAGGGGAGAGTTTGCTAGCTCAATATCAACCAATTATGATCGTTGGCAGCGGTGTAGCTTAATATAACAGGTTAAAAAAGGCCGAGGCTACTAAACTGGTCCAGGCTACGAAACTGACACTTTGCCTTAAAGTTCCAAGTCAGACTATCACACCAGGACTGGTTACCGAGTCGGCGTCTACTTAATAAGCCTGCCTA